TGTTGGGCTATATATAAAAAGGTGGGATAAAGTTCTAATAATATTATAGAGATGAATTGGAACCAATTTCTATTTAGCGTATGTTTTAAAATTAATGAGACTTCATACAAGTAGCAGAAAACATGAACGACAATATAGGAAGCATATGACCAATACTGGAAATAAAACCTCACATTTTATATTGTGTTATTTGATTTTTTCCCCTAAAATGCTTGCTTACCAGAGACAAATTATACTTCATAAAAGTTCTCTGATGCCATTTTCAGTTCAACTTGAGCCATGATTCTAAAACTCCGTAATAAACAGGTTAATCATTAAAATTTAAGTATATCTGAAGACAGATTCCAAGTAATCATTCACTCTTATCTTTCTAGCCTCTGTTATAATTCATTAGTGTTAGCAGAGGCTAGAAAGCAATGTTTTTTTACACCAGCAGTTCTTAAATTTGGTACATGGACTATTGGGAAACCACGAATGATCCTCAGAGAGGTTATGAACCAGACACAAAACAACAGCAAGAAAAAAACAACAATTCATTATTTATTCAATGTCTTTCCTATTACTTTGAAAAACATATTTGGGGAAATTTTGTATTTATATCTAATTAAATTATTAATGCATTGTTTTACTCCAAAATATAGAATATACTAGATCAGAGCTATCAAACTCCTGCCTCTGGTCCGGATGTGTCATGTGCTGGCCACGCCCACACCCGGTTTAGCAAAGGGGGGAAAGTCCCGATATGTCATGTGTCAAACGCTGTGGCGATGCAAGTTTGATACCCCTTTACTAGATATATAATTATCACTGCCATGTTATGATGTCTCAAGCTCTTACCTGTTGATAAAAGTTAAAGAAAAGTACCTGGCCATTAAGAACATTTGTTACTCAATCAAGTCAATGTGAATGTCAAAGTAAAACTGTAAATTTTTTGAAAGCTCTTTGATTTTTTAAATGCCCAATTAATATATTTAACTTATAGGCACTTGATGTTAAGAATGCAAGGAAATTCCATTTATTTACAGTTTAACATAAATTGTGCATATAAATTTATTTATATTTTCCTGAAGATGTGTGTCCCCACAAATTTCATTAGATTCTCAGGATTGTGAACATAGAAGGATTAAGAAACTCTGGTTTACATCATAACTAGCTCAGATATAAGACAATTCTACCATTTAATAAAAAATCAAGCTAAGGATTTCTAAATAAAATAGAGCTGAAGAAGACATCCTGATCTAGGATTATTTTCAATAATCATCCACTATATTGGTAGCCATCTGACAAAGATTTTTACAATTAGTTAACCATGTCCAGCAACCAGAATTACAATTCTTTCCAATAGTTGTTTTTTCAGTGTATGCCACTGAACAAAAGTCAATACCCATGAATAGATTAATTCTTCTTTCTTTTGACAGACATTGCTTGGAAACAATTCTCCTTTGTTTAAGCTAAAACATTGAGCTTTAACTAGCTAAAATCAAATGTCTAGTAATATTAGAAAGATTTCCTCTGGTCCTTGATGGTATATAGGGTACCCCAATGTTCAATTTCTGTTTAAGGTTTAAGTAACCTTCAGCTTACACTCAACTTCTGTAACTCTCTCGGCATGCTTATGTTTTTAATGTAAGAGTGGTTTGCTCTTTTCAAGTTCAGTTTACAACTGGTTTATGATTTTCCATCTAAAGCTACAAATATTCAATAGATCTGGTTGTGGATAAAGGCTATCTGAGGAATGAACTAGTGCAATAACAATGTAAGCCACAACCAAATGATGCTGTAACCATCCTATTTTCAGCCAGGCAGACTGCTTGAATGTTTATACCAAGACTGAATAGAAGATATTACAATTTAACATTTCCAAAATCAATTGCTAGTATTTAGATACAATGTAATAGGTTTCATTTTCACAAGTATCTCTATTTAAATGAATATTCATATATTAGACCTTGCATGTACAACACCATTTATTTCAACTGAAGTTGAACTTTTTTTATAAATTAACTTATTAAGCTATATTACCAATCGTCTTCACTTAGTAAAACATGAAACGGCATGATTTATAAATACTGCTTTCAACCATTACAAAATGCAGAGGACATCACAACATACCATGGTTAAAAATGGCCAGACTTAGTACTTCTGTTTGGACAAATGCTTAACTGTAAATTAGCCATGTAGCAAGAACTAACAACAGTAAAATATAAAGTAGAATTGTTTTATGTTTAAATTTGGTCCTCTTGTGGCTATTATTATTCCCAAATGAAGCTCTCCAGAATCAAAGGCATACTCAACAATGAAATGTGGCTACAGTTTGACATATTACAGACATTTTGTGAAGTCTTATGTCAAACCAATAGAAACGTTGAGCCTTCATCTCTAGTTTTTTTTTTTTTTAAATCTTAGCCTACTACAAATCCCATTCAAATATTTAAACAGGCCAATCCTTTCAACAACCAAGTTCAATAACATACTGCCAATTCCTGAACCAATTTCTAACCCTCCTGTAAAAGGGTTCAATCATAGTTTTTCAAACTATGATTTCTCCTTTGAAAAGAAATAATTATAGCAAATAAACTTCTCTGTATTGATCATTTTGCACAAATTATTGACATTAACACTAAAGCCAAATATGTGTGGTAATATTTCAACAAAGCAGTTGGTAACATGTGCAAAAGTTGTATCAAGAGAACAAATGTCAGAAATGTTTACAAAAGTAAAAACAATCTGAATATTAACAATTAGAAAATGTAAGCATCTAATTGAACAGCCAATTAGACCATGAAAAAATGTACTGAACACCAATCTAAAATTAGTGTTTGCAAAATCTTTGTGACTGAATTTAATAGAAAGTCTAAACATTACCCACATTAACCCAATAACATTTCCTAAGTTTTCAAGAAAATCTTAATAATAAAGAAGATAGGTTTAACTATTCTTGGACAGGAGAGAAGACTCATTTCAAGGAACTAACAAAAGGAACTAAAATAGAAATATTAAATATAAAGGAATTGTAAATGCCAATTGCATTCTTGTCCAAAGTATATCAGTGACAGGAGGAGTGCTAACATTTTAGGTTTTTTTTTAAAAAGGGATTCTAAATGCAATTGAACCTGTGTTGATCCATACGGGTTATTCATGGAGGATTGTAAAAAAAAAACAAAAAACTTTCATGTTAAATTTAAACAAAGGTTATTTAGAGACCAATGGTATATCCCAAGCAGNTATTATTATTCCCAAATGAAGCTCTCCAGAATCAAAGGCATACTCAACAATGAAATGTGGCTACAGTTTGACATATTACAGACATTTTGTGAAGTCTTATGTCAAACCAATAGAAACGTTGAGCCTTCATCTCTAGTTTTTTTTTTTTTTAAATCTTAGCCTACTACAAATCCCATTCAAATATTTAAACAGGCCAATCCTTTCAACAACCAAGTTCAATAACATACTGCCAATTCCTGAACCAATTTCTAACCCTCCTGTAAAAGGGTTCAATCATAGTTTTTCAAACTATGATTTCTCCTTTGAAAAGAAATAATTATAGCAAATAAACTTCTCTGTATTGATCATTTTGCACAAATTATTGACATTAACACTAAAGCCAAATATGTGTGGTAATATTTCAACAAAGCAGTTGGTAACATGTGCAAAAGTTGTATCAAGAGAACAAATGTCAGAAATGTTTACAAAAGTAAAAACAATCTGAATATTAACAATTAGAAAATGTAAGCATCTAATTGAACAGCCAATTAGACCATGAAAAAATGTACTGAACACCAATCTAAAATTAGTGTTTGCAAAATCTTTGAGACTGAATTTAATAGAAAGTCTAAACATTACCCACATTAACCCAATAACATTTCCTAAGTTTTCAAGAAAATCTTAATAATAAAGAAGATAGGTTTAACTATTCTTGGACAGGAGAGAAGACTCATTTCAAGGAACTAACAAAAGGAACTAAAATAGAAATATTAAATATAAAGGAATTGTAAATGCCAATTGCATTCTTGTCCAAAGTATATCAGTGACAGGAGGAGTGCTAACATTTTAGGTTTTTTTTAAAAAAGGGATTCTAAATGCAATTGAACCTGTGTTGATCCATACGGGTTATTCATGGAGGATTGTAAAAAAAAAACAAAAAACTTTCATGTTAAATTTAAACAAAGGTTATTTAGAGACCAATGGTATATCCCAAGCAGGATATGAGCATAATTTTTGCTTATGCTTCCTAACAAGTGGTATTGAAGGACCTATTCTTTCCAATATTAGAGGTAACCTACTAAGATAACCTTATTTTCCAGCAAACAGGCTGAAACCTCAGATCAACAGGGCCCACTTTATCCACCCTCCAACGTTTTCTTAGCCCCAATGTTCATTTAGAAAAGAGCTTTCGCGATATATGCAACGAAGTAATTGAACACAGTGGAGGAGCAACACCCTTTACATCCAAAGTGCTTGATGATTATCATAATTACTGACCTAACTAGCGGAAAAAAGGCTCTCATTCCCGAGTTGGCAGAGGGCAGGAAATGAGAAACCCCTCCTTTTAGGCTGATGCCCCCCTTTCGAGGACCAGGGGAATGACTGGGTTCAGTAGAACGCGGCTTGCTTGTCCTCCTTCGGAGTAAGAAAATGAATATACTGGGAGAAAAGCCTGGCCTTTCTCCCTTCCCCAAGGAAACCTCCCAAGCAAGGCGTGGAAGCCTACAGACAAAACCGGGAGGTCTCAATCCGGGCAGGCCGAGTACCCCCCGCCCCAGCATCTCGGAGACAAACGGAGGCCTTAGCCTCGGGCATGAACGGAGGACAAGAGTGAAGGGGCAGAAGGAGAAGCGGCTTCTCCACGGGGAGGGAAGGGATGGAGAGCAAGCGGCGGCGGAAGAAGGGAAGCCTTTCGCCCCCTTTGCAGCAAAGGGATTCCTCTGCAGCCAGCAGAAGTCGCGGGGGGGGGAGAGGAAAAAAGGGGAGGGGGAAGCCGGGCGTCCTCGCCTTCCTACCTGCGCGGCCGGCGTTGCCATTTCGGCTACTTCCCCGCAAGGAGGCGGGGGTCCTAAGCCTCCGAGCCTGGCCTCCATGGCCACCGCCTTCCCCACTGCCGGCCCGGCAGGGAGAACCGCGCCAGCGACCGCAGCGGCCATGGAGAAGCCGGAGCTGCTGCGGACCAGCGGCGGAAAAAACGACCAACCACCGGAACCGCCGCCGCCGCCGCCTCCCGCGGCAATCCCAATTCACTCCCCGATTGATGGGCAGCGAACTCCGCCCTCTGCTCCACATCCTTTGCTCTGGCTGGCCAATTAGGATCCGGGCCCCGGGCTCTCGGTTCCCTCCTACCTGGCCACATTCTCCAATAAGGATTCAGCTTTCGCCAAGGCACCGGATCCTGGTCCCGCCCCTTTAGATGCCGCTGTTCACAGAGCAAAGCGAAGGGACATGAAGCCACCCGCGGCTCCAGGCGCGGCGATTAAGGAAGGAAAACCTGAAAAGGGGCGGGAATATTAACCCCACCTCTTACGACTTCCACCAATAGGGCCTCGGGAAGCAGCAATAGACAATTTTTCCCACCTATCTTGGTTTTGTAAGGCAAATGGGGCGGGGGAAAGTTATTAGCCCCCCTGAGCTCAGAAATAATAACGGGCGCGGGAACGTGGAGCGACTGAAAGAGGATATAAAGCCAGAACCTATCGGCCTTGAGGAAAAAAATAAAGGGGGGTTGAGGGAGAAAGAGGGGGATCTTTGAAAAGTCGGATGATACAGATTTCGAAATATAAAGGAGAGAGCATTCCCGGGACGAGACGTGGGATGGCAGGAAAATACTCCCGTTTCCCGAGAGTTCAGCTGGGAGATTTGCCAGCGTCTGCAAGAATTTACGGGAATGACAAGCGACCAGCCAATGAGATTTAATAACGGGCGCTTCTTCAGGAAACCAACGTCTAAAATTGCAGGATTACCCCGCCCTTCTCTCTGCGTCGAGTCTCATGTGCGGGCGCTCCTTGCAGGAGATTTTAAAAAAACAAACATTTCCATTAATATCGAAATACACCGATTATTAACCCTTAAGAAGGAGGGGGGGGCAAATGCCTTCCTATAGCAATGCACTAGAATACATTAATATTCTAGTGGAATAATAAATAATACCCCTGCGATATATTGTAGTAATACATCTGCACAAACGTAAACGATATTTTAGTGACGGCAAGGAGCTGCTTTCTGTATCTGCTGCCCCGGTTTTTGTAGAATAGATGGGGTAATTCCAGCGTAGTTCCCCCCCCCCCCACACACACACACTTCTCTGACCAGTATAATATATGCATTGTATATGATGCTGGGACGGAAACGAGGACCTTCTGCACGGGCGAAGGATGTTCTCTAACGCTGCTCTAAGCCTCTTTGGAAAGAGGTTGGCAGAGCTGCTGCCCACTGCTGCCCCCAGGTTGTCGATGGACTAGGCGCAATTGCTTTTTAAAAGCCCAATGCTTTGGTGTCTCTAGCAAGGAGACTGCAGATTTTTCTCTCTCCTGGGATCAGACTTCTGTGCCTAGTTCAAGATACTAAAATACCATTTTCTATAAATTTCCACAAGACTCTTTTCAATTGCCACACTTAGTTTTATGTATTTTAGCTCCAAAAGTCAATGACTAGTTCAGACACCAAACTAACACTTTTTCTTCTTGAGCGTTTTTGAAATATTTTATTTATTTGGTATATTAAAAAATCTCAGCTTCTTAATGAATATACATCTCTCAAAAGTTTGATTTGATGGTTTTTGTTTGATTATGTTTTATTTCTTTTAATTACATTTGTAAGAATAGAATTCTTTACATTTGTAAGAATAGAATTCTTTACATTTGTAAGAATAGAATTCTTTACATTTGTAAGAATGGAATTCTTTATTGGCCAAGTGTGATTGGACACACAAGGAATTTGTCTTTGGTGCATATGCTCTCAGTGT